AGCTGTAACCAGTGCTCAACTGGACACTGATAGATCACAAGACTGCTCTAACTGCTGATGAGAAAATGTATTTAGCAGTATATATTTACTAAAGTAATTGCATTTCCATGTTGTTTGTACTGTGGGAGATCAGATATAGTGAATGCAGGGTCCTGGGTTTAGTAACACTTTAACTTCATCAAACCCCCCCCCCCCCCCCCCCCCCATAAGGAAAACATTTGGCCTTCACTTCACATCGTAATAGTGATAAACCGCACCAACATTCTGAGAAACAGTCTAAACAATCATGTTGTTCAAAGCTACAGAGTATAATGAAGAAGAATCTAGTGATATTAAACTCTTTATTTAAATGAAAGTCCAGAAATATTTTTTGCACACTCCATAGTTCAAACACTACCTCTAATGATGATTATTCTAGCTGTGGGTTTCAAACTGTTTACTGTAAAAATCATAGTTTCTTTGATGCTTTTATACTGTGGAGGGATCCTGTCATTTGTGAACAGAATACAAGGCCTTTTGTGAACGGAAAAAAGGAGCAGAAAGAGAGGGCGAATATGATCCCTTCACTGTATGAGGGCTGATGCTCTCAGCTGGAGTACTGAAAAAGTCATTTCTGGCATCAAGGAAGCTATGCAAAAATGTTTTTTTTCCCCATAGGTTTGCTTTAAAGAAGTAATAGAAAGTATGTTGCAATTTAGTGAAGTTTCTAGATCCTCAGAGAGAACCATTTGCTTCATTCTCTCTCAACTCAGAAGCAAAATTCTTCAGTTCAGCATTCAGATAGCTCAGATGAAGAGTAGGGGGAGACTTTGAACTGTGTGCTTTTGATGTTGCATTAGTCTTACTTTTATTGAAGCTGCTAAAATCACAATTTCTTGGTAGGACGAGGTGGTGTAACCCCAAAAATGTAAGGATTATAATCCTCACCTTGAGAAAGAACCTTCAGCTTTTGATGCTGGAAGTTAGAGATTGTGGAAGATGAAGGGGTCTACCTGGATAAAATAGGTTTGCAAAGTTATACCCCTTGTCTTTAGGAAATTCAAAATAGAGGGGCAACAACATCAGTTCCACTGTCTCCCTTTTAGGTTAGCCACTCCTCCCTGAAGTTTTTCTGTTTCTAGTAAAAAAAAAATACACTAAAGTAAATTTTGGGGCACTCTTCATGTGCGGATGATCCCGACACATGTGGGGATGCTATGTAGAGGTAGGAGAGTGTTTAAATGCTTGGGTGTAAATAATATTTGACACTTTTTTCACTTACATAGGAGAAAAAAAGTCCCCTGTGTGATACCTTTTTGGTGACAGGTTCTCTGTAATTAGAAACAGGGGTCTTTTATAGGCCTCAGTACAGCAACGTAAAATATCTAAGACTAAGAGCTTGTCTCCATGGGCAGCAAACAGGACTTTTTTTTCAACCCCAAGTCAATTTGATTTTGCATGAAGGTCCAGTTTAATTGTTTTTTTTCCCATGCTTGGATGTAGGGTGGAGGAAGACAAGTGTCTGAGTCTTGAATTGATAGAGTGTGCTGATGAGGTGACAATGATGAAAAAAACTTCTCAAGGCGGTGGTATCTCAAAATAGTTTATCATTGTGTGGTATTGAGCAGAGGTAATGTGAGGGTTGGAGTAGACACCAAACTCCCAAATGTGAACAAAATTGTGTCTGAAGATGTGAGTGTGAGTGGAGGTCACCTTCTGAGGCAAAGCGGAAAGCTCTGAAGAAGACTAGAAACTTGGCATCTGACTATTTCAAAGTGAAGGTGGGCTACCTCAGGATCAGGTTGAGTGGGGCTCACCTTAGAGGTTCGGAAAAGCTTGCATGAAACTGCACATGTAGGACTGATCAGAGGGTGTTGTTTAAGTTCTTACTGAAGCTCTGTGGAGATCCACAGCAGTTCCCATAGTGTCAGGGATGTGAAATCTTGTTCAAGTTGAAGCCATGGCTTATGGGATTGGGAAGTGCACCAATTGAAGACTTTTGTCAGGTGGAATGCACGGTAGGACCTGATGGGGTCAGGGAAACAAAAGCCTGCACTATGTTTGTGCACCAGTGGAAGACTTGTCAGGTGGGATGCGTGGTAGAACCTGATGGGGTCAGGGAAATAAAAGCCTGCACTATGTTCATGCACCAATTGAAGACTCTTGTCAGGTGGAATGCATGGTAGAGCCGGAGGGGTCAGGGAAATAAAAGCCTGCACTATGTTCGTGCACCAATTGAACACTCTTGTCAGGGGGAATGCATGGTAGGGCCTGATGGGGTCAGGGAAACAAAAGCCTCCACTATGTTTGCATAAACTGAGAGCATGAAATTTGATTCTTGCTTCTTTTGGGCCCATGCAAAGCATAGAAAGGCCATGCGCAAGTCCCTGAGGCCATGTGGTGGTAAGGAAATTGCAAGCATTTGGAAAAGATACAGTATGTTAACCTCTGTAAAACGTTTAATTTGAAGATACTGTTTTGACCAAACCATGAATGTGCTTGCTGCCTCTTGACAAGCTCACTGTTAATATTCTGTAAAAAATGGGTCTTTGAAAGAGGTTTGAATGACTTGAAGGCAACGATGAGCTCAGATGGGTTTGGAAATGAGTCAGGACTTACCTGAGCTATCTTGCCTGGAAGCTGTCAAAGACAACGGCCAGTTAATATGCGGTGGAGGTATTCTCTGCCTTGCAGCTGCACTTTTGCAAGGGTATGTATATGTTTGACTGCAAGGCAGGGAATGCATTATCCTCCTATGATTGGCTGTTGGCTTTGACAGCTTCTGAATGGAATAGTTCAGGTCAGTTTGGCCTTGTCATTAAAAGTACCATTTCAGTCTTTGCAGATGACACCAAGCTGTGCAGTGGAATAACGTCCTTACAGGATGTCTTCAGCTTACAAGCCGACCTCAATGCACTGTATAATTGGGCAACTATGTGGCAAATGAGATTTAATGTTTATAAATGTAAGGTTATGCACTTGGGGGCTAAGAATATGCATGCATCATACATACTAGGGGGGGTACAACTGGGGGAATCAATGGTGGAGGATCTGGGGGTTCTGGTAGATCACAAGCTTAATAATGGCATGCAATGCCAAGCTGCGGTTTCTAAAGCGAGAAAAAATCCTCTCTTGTATTAAAAGAGGTATAGACTCCAGAGAGAGATATCATATTACCCCGGTACAAATCATTAGTAAGACCTCATCTGGAATATGCAGTTCAGTTTTGGGCACCAATTCACAAAGAGAACATTGGGGAACTGGAGAAAGTACAGAGAAGGGCAACCAAACTGATAAGAGGCATGGAGGAGCTCAGCTATGAGGAAAGATTAGAGGAACTGAATTTATTCTCTCTTGAGAAGAGGAGATTAAGGGGCAATATGATCAACATGTATAAATACATCAGTGGTTCATATAGTGAACTCGGTGCAGAGCTATTCACCCTGAGGTTATCACAGAGGACAAGGGGGCACTCTTTACATCTGGAGGAAAAGAAATTTAATCTCCAAACACGGAAAGGTTTCTTCACAGTAAGAGCTGTGAAAATGTGGAATAGACTCCCTCAAGAGTTGGTTCTGGCCAGCTCAGTGGATTGTTTTAAAAAAGTCCTGGATTCTTTATTGGATACACAGAATATAATTGGTTACTAACATTTATAGGTAAAGTTGATCCAGGGAATATCCGATTGCCTCTCGGGGATCAGGAACGAATGTTTTCCCTGCAGGAGCAAATTGGATCGTGCTTTGCTGGGGGGTTGCCGTCCTCTGGATCAGCTGTGGGTGTAGGTTTGTGTATATACGATTGTTTTTATATATATATATATATATATATATATATATTTTATTGGTTGAACTAGGTCTTTTTTTCAACCAGACTGACTACGTAACTATGTGTCTGAACCTGCCTGAGCGGATCCCTACTTGGAGGTGAGTCAGACGACTTAAATTGTAATGAGATCAGTAACAGGTCAACAATGCATTGGCTATGGCCTGTGGGGTAGTGTAGGTGTGGCTTTAGGCGTGTGATATATGGGGTCATTGGTGTCCCAGAGGTAGGTGCGGGGGATGCGGTCCGCACCGGGTGACACCGACTGCATGGGGTGACACTGGACCCGCTCCATGAAAAGGTAAGTTGTAAAGCAAGCTGACAATCCCCGCAGGATGGATCGGATCCATCCCGCGGGGATCATTGGCTTTCTTTACAACTTACCTCTTCCTGGAACGGGTCAGGTGTCACCCCGCATAGGTTGCATGCCGGGGATTGTCGGCATGCAACCTATATGGGGTGACACCGGTGTAGTGGTAAGATGTGTCTCCCATGTCGATATGTCCCCCCTGAAGCAACTGCACTTGTCCCGGTTTAAACCGGGACATGCTTGGTTGCTTCAGTGGGACATATCTACATGAGAGACACATCTACACCAAGAAAAGGTAAGTTGTAAACAAAGTTGACGATTCCCGCAGGATGGATCGGATCTGCGGACTGAGCATAATGGATCGGAGTCCAATCCATTATGCTCAATCCGTGGATCTGATCCATTCTGCGGGGATCGTCGGAGGGGGTGTCACCAAGTGTTACCGCACCCGGTGACACCAACCCTAGGTATGCCTCTGTATGGGGTGTACGTTTTGGATGTAAGTAACCTCAGCCTGTGCAAACCTCCTAATAGAGATGTAATCCTAGGGGAAACATTATACTTGTGTGGGACCAGCAGTATGCCCAGGACTAATATACACCGGTTTGTACTGCTATTCCTCGACACGCAAGTCAGCGTGAGTACAAAAGCAACTCAGAATCCCCCAACTCATATGTCCCCCCATTATTCGTCTACAAAATCAGTGTGCGTGCGACCACGTGATGCCGCTCCGGCCATATTACTACTCTTTAGTGAAGCCTCCTAGAGGGAGGGAGTCTGTCATTGGCTGTCTGCACTGTCTGGCTTTCCGTCACATGACCAGTCACATGAATCTGCCTGTCAGAACATCAACATGGCGACCCATCTTTCCTGCGGGCGGGTGAACATGAACGTTCTGCGGGAGGCGATGCGGATTGAACTGCGGGAGTTCCTGGATAAGTGTGCCGGCAGTAAGGTGAGGGCGGATTTGTCTTTAGGGACGAGACACAAGTGTGCTGTCGGTGTGTCTGCCTCCATACTAAGGCCCGTTCTGCTGTAGCTAATATGGCCTACTTTGTTCTATGGACTCATACTAATCTGAGTTTAATTGACTGAGATGTTGCCAACAAAAACTCTTTCTTTTCTTAATTTCAGATATGTGAAATGTTTATGGGCTACATTTTTTTTGTCAATCAGCAGGTGAATGGGGAAGTTCAGCCACTTGCCCTCCAGAGGATTTTTTCCCCCCTTCCTGACCAGGCCATTTTTTGCATTACGGTGCTGCGTTAATTTAACTGACAATTGCGCAGTCATGCAACACTGCACCTAAATGAAATTTATGTCCTTTCCCCCCCCCCCCCCCCCCCCCCCCCTGAATTGAGCTTTCTTTCGGTAGTATTTGATCGGCTGTGCGTTTTATTTTTTGCGCTATAAAAAAAGACCAGCAATTTTGAGAAAAAAAAAAACAGTATTTTTGACTTTTTAAACGTGTCCAATAAAATGTTTTTTAAAAATCTAATTTCTTCATAAATTTAGGCCAAAATGTATTCTGCTACATGTCTTTGCTAAAAAAAAAAAAATCCCAATATGTGTAAAATAACTGGTTTACGTAAAAGTTATAGCGTTTACAAATATATATACTGGGCTTTTTTTTTCTTTACTAGTAATGGCGGTGATCAGTGACTTATAGCAGGACTGCGGCGGCCATTCTGACACTGGTTGGGGAACTGACTTGGTGTCACTGACCTACACAGTGACACCAATACAGTTGTCAGTGCTAATAAAAAGCACAGACACTGTACTAATGGCACTGGGCAGGAAGGGGTTAACATGTGGGACGATCAAAGGGTTAACTGTGTGTTTGTGCTCCACTGTAACCACACTGATTTGCATGGCTCTGCTATGCAAAGCCATGCATAGCAGTGTGCAGGAGCTGAAAGGGGGAGAGATCTGTGTTGTTTTACTTACAGTTCTCTCCCTCCGTCAGTAATTCTTGGCGATCACCGGGTGCCGGTGAGTAATCACCGGCCAGGGACCCAGTAATTGACAGCCAAGGCAGTGAATAGTGGTGCGGGTAGGGCACTCATGCGCGCCTCCTGCCCAGACATGCAAAATCACGTGTGTGTATATATACGTGATCTTGCGCACCCCTTCCGCCCTGTAGGAGTATATCTTGTATAGGGTGGCAGGAAATCAGTTGAAGTGGACATGCACTGCATCTGAGGAAAACAAACCAAAAATGCTATTTAATTCATTTTTTAATATTCAAACCAAACTCTCTCCATCCATCCATGTCTCCATGCTTTTATTTTGCTGAGAAATCACTTAGAAAAGAACCCTCTAGCATTTCTGGCCAGGCCATCTTGAGTAAGGGCAGATGATTCATGTAGTATTTACTTCCTGGAATCCATCCATCCTTCACTCAGGCATGCAGGTAGGAGGAGGGAGTGCTTAGCTGAGAAACCCCTCCTCCCCTACTGAAGACTCCTGGAATGTATGGCCTCATTTGCCTAGGCATGGAAACCACCAAGTAATGGAAGAAATGGGGGAAAAATGAAAACAAGGAAATATGAGATACTTTCCGATGTATTTACTAATGCTAGCAGCATAAAGATTAAAAATAGTCCTTATGTTGATAGCGAGAGTGAAATTCTGCTTTAAGATGCATACTGTTTGCCATTGGACTCCTTTCCCAACTACGTAGATGTTAAAGTGGTTGTAAACCTTTCCATATACCCAGTAAAGTGACTGGACTCAGGTGATACACAGAGATGAAACAAATCCTCCTGCATAAGCTGTACCTGTTTATCTGCAGTCTTCTCTTCTCTCCATCCATTCAAAGGCCAGAATTTATAAAGCTTGCCTGAGAGAGGCAAGAAAGAGGGTGGGGAGCTGAAATTACAGCGAGGAGCACTCTGAGAGCTGATTGGAGGGAAGGGACCCCCCCCCCCCTGCACACAGGAACAGAGCTGAGTCTATCAATCATAGGCTGTGTGCTGGAGCTCCCTCCTCGTCACCTTTTCCTTTCTTGATGTGAGGAAAACTTATGAGTAACTCATGCAGATAGCAAAGGAACGAAGCAGCTGAAAGAAAAGACACTTTGTGCTCTGGACTGAGACAAGTACATGCTGTAGAGAGATATGCTTTGTTCATATTTCATGTCTGAGGTTTACAGTCACTTTAACCCTCCAATGCCACCTCCCCCCTTTTGAGCAACTTCACAACCTTCTTTTTTTTCTTTTTTTTTTCAGGCTATTGTGTGGGATGAATATCTGACGGGACCTTTTGGATTAATTGCACAGTATTCACTTTTAAAGGTATTTTTCACATTTATTATTTTGTACTGCTTCTTATGACTCTCATATTTTTGCTTAATCCATCTTTATTTTTCCATTTTCAGGAACATGAAGTTGAAAAAATGTTTACACTTAAGTCCGGGCCTTTGCCAACATCTGATGTAAAAAACATCATATTTTTTGTCAGGCCTAGACTTGAACTCATGGACATTATTGCTGAGAACATTCGGAGGTTTGTGTGCTAAATTATTAATTTGCTGTCATGATGCTGGTAATTGAGTTAGCTGTAGCACATCTAAAAGGCCTAGCCTCATTTAGATACTGTATGATACCCTCTTGCTATAATTTTAAAGAAACTTGTGGAAAAACAAAATCCTGACTAACCGATTGTGTAGAAGACACACTGTGTTGTTTTATGTTTGTAGAGCCATAACTTATTTTAGTTTTTAGTTGGGTGCAGAATGGCTATAGCCCGTCAGGTTTTTTGTTTTTTTTTTTATCTTGATTTTCCTTGCTTGGGAAGTCAACCCTCTCGGTTTGTCCTGGCAACCATTGTCTGAAGGTATAAGTGATCTGCAACATTTTGAGTTGTCAATGAAGGAGAAGTGGAGATGAAATCTTCCAATAGGAACACTCGTTGCAGTGATCTCTGCCAATGACTTTTACCTTACTTTGGAGAGATTTACCTTTTCTTCCGTTCTCCGAGATACAACAGAAAGTAAAGTTTTGACTTATCTACTTAACTGCTTGCCTGCCACCCTATAGTAGAAGTACTGCTACAGGGTAGCAGGGCTGCGCAAAATCACGTGTATACATACGTGATTTGCATTGCTGCGTAGGGGGCACACGTGTGCCGTCCTACCGGCGCCACTATTAGCGGCTAGAGATGTCAATCACCGGGTCCCGTGCGGCAATTCGCTGCCGGCACTTGGTGATCATTGGGGAAAGCTGACAGGGGAGAGACCTGTGTGTAAACAACACAGGTCTCTCCTGTCAGCAAGGGCATACTGCTTTGTATTTCTCATAATGTAAAAAACACACTGCGCACAGTTAACCCTTTGATCACCTCAAATGTTAACCCCTTCCTGCCCAGTGTCATTAGTACAGTGTCAGTGCTTTTTATTAGCACTGATCACTGTATTAGTGTCACTGCGGATGTCAGTAGCAGTCAGTTCACACCCAGTGTCAGAATGCCCGCCACAGTCCCGCTAGTATAATAAAAATTCCAGTACATATACTGCCATTTCTAGATGCTATAACGTTCACGTAAACAAATGAATTTACATGTACTGGGATTTTTTTTTTTTTTTTTTTAGCAAAGGCATGTAGCAGAATGCATTTTGGCCTAAATTTATGAAGAAATTAGATTTTTAATGTTTTTATTGGATATGTTTTATAGCAAAAAGTCAAAAATATTTTTTTTCTTTTTTGCAAAATTGTTGGTCTTTTAAAAAAACGCAGAGATGATCAAATACCACCTAAAGAAAGCTCTATTTGTGGGAAAAGACATGAATTTCATTTATGTACAGCGTTGCATGACCACGCAATTGTCAGTTAAAGTAAGGCAGGGCCGTATCGCAAAAAATGGCCTAGTCAGGAAAGGGGGTAAATCCTCTGGAGGGCAGGTGGTTGAACTTCCTCATTCCTATTTGCATGCACTGAAGTTCTGGTGAAAAATCCCAGCATGTCCAGGTATATGGTATATGGGCAGTGCTTGCTTCCTGAGTTAGCCAGTTGCCGGACCTGAGTACTGTTGACTTTTTTTGCATAAAACTTTTGTAAGGGCTGCAGAAAGAATTGAAGCAATGGACATTTGTGGAATGTAAATACAGATATTGGAGAGTGTCATCTACACAGTTGTTGCGTTCGTTATGATTTATTTTATAAAGCATCTGCATCATTTTAAAATAAAAATATGGAACTAACTGCTTTGTATATGTTTAACATCTACCTTCCACTAATTTTTTTCCATAGAGAAGAAAAGGGTCGATTCCCACAACGGGACTTTCACATCTTGTTTGTGCCTCGCCGTAGCTTGCTGTGTGAACAGCGGCTGAAGGATCTTGGGGTTCTTGGCTCTTTTATCTATCGGGAAGAATATCGTCTAAATTTGATTCCTTTTGATGGAGATCTGTTGTCTATGGAATCTGAGAATGCTTTCAAGGTGATTAACTCTTTGTTATATAAGCACTACATACTGTATGAACTACTTATAAAAAAGCACAACAAAATGTGTAATGTAAAAATGCTTGCTTTGTTTTTTTTAATGTAAGCTCCGTTTGCAACCAAGCATAGTTTCCATACACAGAGGAGACCCTATTAATACCATTTGGTAAGACTGTTCCAAAGCTAGATAACTCTGGATTGCCCAGACTAATTTTGCTTTAAAGGATAAGTTCACCTTTGGGAACATGTTACATATTGCACCTGTTTTCAGGGGGGATCATGTAACATGTTCCCGATCCTGCAGCCACCACCCACTGCCCCCCTTTCCCTATAACAGAAGTACGGGGAGAAGTTCTCCGTACTAGCTGTCACTTTTCAAAAACAGTGCGGCTGTGCCGGGCTTCGCCCACACGGCGGCATCATTCATTCACAGTTCTCTGACTGAATGGACTACAGGTCCCAATAACCTTAGCAGCTCTCGCCTTGTAGTCTTCAGTGAACTACCACGGAGCTGTGAGCGCTGTGGTAGTTAATGGATTCTTCCTGTCAAAAGTATCGGCTTGTTTTTATGGGATATACAAACAAGCAGACACATTGACAGTCTGCAGGAGACCTACATGGCATCAGCGATTTGAGATTGTTGGTGCAATGCTTTACAGGCTCCTAACACAAAAAAATAATAAATGCACGTTTTTTTTTTACCTGCAAATAAATTTTTATTACCTTTTGTGTAAAGGTGAAATTATCCCTTAATGACCTGCTGTATGACACATTACTCTGTATGTATAAATCACTGAACTGCGTACTTGTTAAGCTGTGTCATTTTAAACAGTTCAGATGAGCAAAGCCCTATTTTAAACTGATCTTGTGCACTTGTAGGGTATGTTATACTGTGTTTAGTGGTTCTTTATGTTCAGGTCGCCATCGTGGCAATATTAGATCAGTAATCAGTGATGCACCAGTATATTTTAGTACCATTGGGGTGTAAAGCTACTTCTATACAAATTAAAATTTTGGAAGTGTGTGGGTTTCCCTGCTTGATAGATGTCAATTGTTTAATCGACTTCTGTTAAAGAGACACATTGAAACATTTTTTAGCAGCTGCAGCCAATTGGATGAATACACAAATTAGTGTATTCTGATGGCAGCGGGTGCCACTGTCACAATTCAACGTTCTGGCTGGGGAAGGAGGGTTTCCTTAGGTCACCTCAGTTTGGGAACCAGGTATGGCCAGCTGAAGTTTTAGCTAAAACAAGTTAGGATAAGAATACCCATTAAAGTGTCATTAAACCCAGTGTATATTTCTTTATTTTTGTTTTCTAGATCCTAATGCAGAAGTTTTATAATATGTAACATGCCATTGCTTGTAAATAACTGATTGATCCTGTCGTTTACATGGGGTTCCCTATTGTCAGTGGCCAAGAGGGGAATATGCATGTTTGCTTTTTTTAGACCCCCACACTTCTTTACGGTATCGTTTAAATGTGTAGGTGTTTTTAGGTTGAACGTTGCACATGCTTTCAGTGCTTAGAACTAAGGATTCTCTGGCAATATGATCAATGGAATACAGGACCATGTCTTAGAGTTGTACTGTTATCATATTTTGCAATAGTAACATTCATAGTTTTATTATTTTACATATAACAGCTAGGAGCAGCATTGGGCAAAAACATCTGAACCACACCGAAGAGCAGTGTAAATGATATCCATTAACTTATAATCTGTTTAGCAAATCCACATGGAACAATTGCTGGCAAAATATTTATTTTTATGATGCTCCATAACACTATGATTTATTCTTACTTTACCAGGAATGTTGCTTGGAAAATGACCAGACCACTCTTTATCATGCAGCTAAAGGGCTCACCACTCTGCAGGCATTATATGGAACCATTCCACAAATCTGTGGGAAAGGAGAGAGTGCCAGAGTAAGTCTTAGCCAGACGTTCACATTGGTAGGGTTTATTCACACAGACGATGTTTAATTGGGCTATACTCGTGTATAGAGTGTGGAAGGACAACCTGAAGAATGAACATCATTTTTTTTTTTTTTTTTTTTTTTTTTTTTTTTTTTTTTTTTTTTTTTTAGTGGGGAATTGACCTTCCTGTGCACATAGATAAGGATAGTACTACAAGTATTTAAAGGATAAGTTCACCTTTGGGAACATGTTACATGTTCCATCCGTTTTTTAGGGTGGAATATGTAACATGTTCACATAGCTGCAGCCGCTCCTGCCTGCCGCCCCCCCCTCCCCCTGACAAATAATACGGGGAGAAGTTGCCCTGTATTATCAGTTTTGAAAACAGCGCGGCTGTGCGGGGCTCCACCCACACGGCTGTATCATTCATTCACAGACTTCCGTGAATGTATGAACTGCCAAGTCCTGTTAGCCGTCTTAGAGTTTTCAATGAACTACCACGGTGCTGTGGAGCATCAAGGTAGTTCATTGAAGCTTAATGTCAGAATATCTGTTTGGCAGTACATCCCGTACAGCAAGCAGAAATTCTGACAGGTCTGAAGGAGACCTGCATGGCATCAGCGATCTAGTGATGGCTAGTGCAATGCTTTCAGGCTCCTTTTGGGCAAAAATAAGAAATGCATTTTTTTTTTTTTTTTTTTTTTTTTTTTTTTTTTTTTTTTTTTTTTTTTGCCTGCAAAAAAAGTGCATTTATTATTTTTGCCCAAATGGTGAACTTATCCTTTTAATCTTTCGAGGCCTGCTTTTTTTTGTTTTGCTTTTGTTTTCCATATTGTCTTTGTATGCGGCAGTACTGTTCTCTGCAGACACCAACAGCATTTTTACTATCCTTTAACCATTATCTCTTTCAGCAAAACAGCAACAGAGGAGAGCTAGACTGAATGTCGGTAGTGTGTGCTTAACTGGAAAAGATTATTTAAAAATAAAAAAAAAAAAAAAAAAAAAAAATATATATATATATATATATATATATTTTTTTTTTTTTTTTTTTAAACAAAAAAAAATGTTGCAGCTTACTATTCTCTAGATGAGTTACTTGCATTAGTTTCTTTTTCTTTGTTTATTTTTCCTGATAAACCTGCAAATAATGCTCTGCCTGTCCCTGGCTTTGCTCACTCCTCTATGGTGGGTTCATGGTTGCCACCCAGGCTGAACTTCTAATTCTCCAGTTGGATGATTGGAGTAGTAGTGTACAAAAGAAATGAATTGGTTTTTCTTCCAGTTTACCTCTCAGGAAGTGAAAAGGATACTACATTTCTGGCAGGTATCATTTTTTTTTCTAAGCTTTAAAACTAAATTAAACACCACAAATAAGCTGGTAAGCTGCAAACACGTGTCTCAGTGTGCCTTTGGGGCACACTGGTTTCTAGTCTGGAGGTTTGGCAATTTATCTATTTGGATAGAATCTGGACAAAAGTAAAAAAAGAAAAACTTGTGCTCCATGAAAGCTACTCTAACATAGAAACTGGAGTGGTTTGAGACATGGCATGAACATGGTAAAAAATATATAAACACATCGAGTTCTTAGTTCACTACAAAGTCTCTGAGATGAATACAGGATTTAAAACCAATGCTTCTTTCAGTACCTGCAACTGTGCCAGGCTTTGACTACTTAGTCAAAGCTCTGCAAGCAGACATACTGTATGCTGACACCCCCTCTACTTAATGGTGTAGTCACTGTAGAGACCAAGTGTGGTCTCCTTTCCACTACATTAAAAAACATTGGTGCATTAGGTTGTGAAGAGGATGGGATATAAAACTAGGATCACTGCTGGTTGCGGAATGCTCAGATATCTGATCTCTTATCCTTATAGTATCTATATCTCTCCTCTCACCTAAAAACTCACCCAGCAATTCATTTTGAGTCAGTGCTACTACACTCAAAAATTACATCATCGAGGGCTTCAAGACTCCATTGTGCGAGACATAACCTGGCACCCTGATACACATGCTTCTGGAAGTACCTCAACCACTCCAATATTGGAAGTGTATTATCAACATTATGTGTTTTACACCACTTATTTGATTCCAAAATTTACATCCTGGTCTTATTAGATGAAGAAAATGACACTCCCCACACCTATACGATTACTTGTATGTTATTAATTGCTAGAGAACTTCTGACCCAGAAGCAGATCTCCTTAGAGCCTTGTACTCCCAGTCAGTAGTAACAGTCTGTTGTTAATGTACCACATAGAGACAAACAAAAAACATAGCAGCACAGAGGTTGCTCAAATGCCTTGAGAGAATTGGTTGGGTAGCACAGGCCTGATTCCCCCTTCCAACCACAACTACCTTTGCATAGTATTTGGAACAGATGGTTAGGCATTTTATTTAGTTATGCCTTTTGAAAAGGTTCCTCTAGATAAAGATTGGTTATGCTTTATTTAAGTTTGATTAAACTACTGCTCTCGTTCACCAGCAGGATTTCTTTATAATTAAGTGGTCTTCTTGCAGCATGTTGCAAACATGATGATCAGAATGAAGCGAGAACTGGGAGGGAGCCACAACCAGATAACTCCAGTGTTTGACACTCTCTTGCTGCTTGATCGCAATGTGGACTTACTGACACCTCTGGCAACACAGCTTACTTATGAAGGCCTTATTGATGAAGTGTATGGCATCCTTAATAGTAAGTGTCATCCCTACTCTGAGAACTTGAATGAAAGACTGGATTGTGTAATTACCTCATGTGTGATTTCCAGCTAAGCCCGTGTGCAGGAGAACTGATCCCCAACCCAAAGAGTGCTCAGGATGGGAATGGAGCTGTTGTTCTGCAGACAGCCTCAGGGCATATAAAATGACAGTTAAGCATGTGTACAGAGAGCTGCTCTTAAACTTATGCAGGCCACACATGGGTCGAATTCTGAATGAATTTTCTTTACAAAATTTCTGATTTTCTAATCTGATGGTGCCACCATTGATTTTGAAATTCAACCAACCAAGCTTTTAAATTCACCTCGTGTTGCTACAGAAAAAAAATTTTCATGGCCAAGAATTTTCTTTTCTTTCCAGGTACAGCTTACGCTTGTTTCTTTTTTGATTATATTTCTCGCACGATTCTCCCATCATTGATTTAGAAATCAGTTAATTTTTCAAAACATTTCCAACATGCCCGATCACTCAAATTCGATGGTTGCATGAAAATTGGCCATTTCTGTGCCCCACTAATGGTGCGAAATTCGAACAAAAATTCTTAGAAAAGATATTTGAAAGAAAATTCTTTCAGAATTCCACCCGTGTATGGCTGGCTTTAGCCTCCAGCCTATATAAACATGCTGGAGGTCAAAGCTGGCCATACACGGTGGAATTCTCTAAGGGTGCTCTGAGGTTATCAGAAACAGTTCTCTGAACTCGGGCACAGCTGTCAATTCGCAAACCCTGCGGAGATCCAGGAGAGCAGCTCTTGGTTGCTGTGTGGCTATACATTTGGTGAGGCTGTGTTCTGATCCAGTTAATCAATGCACTTTCTCAGCTGTCAATTACATAGGAGTTAGTGACTATTTAGAGAAGCAAAGGGCAACCAGTTGGGTATCTTCCTGTATCCTGATACCTGGTTAGTGACAGTAAAAACAGTGACTCTTTTCTTCACAATGTCTTCTGGTGTCCCAGGAGCCTTTTTTTTTTGTAGTTGGCTTATCATGACTCAGACTCTAGATTCCTACCGTAGCCATAGTGTTGTATTTGGGATAATGTTAGTAGGAAAAGGAGGGAAGAGAAGGAAAAATATGAGGGAGGACGATCCCAGAGAAAGATTAAAGTTTTTTGAGGTACAGTCAATAAACAAAACTTGTACAACCTTTGCACAGGAGAAAAGAGTGTCCCAGGGTAACAGTACAGCACAAAATACTCAACATAATCACAGAACAGCACTCTGCTTCAATATTATAATAAAGTAGTCAATGCCAGATACAAATGGCAGAGGCTGAAGGGAAGCACTGTATATTCAAGCATGCAATCACTTCTAGAATGGGATGCATTTTTATTCCTTCTTACCCTGTCCAGGTGAGTAGTAGGCTCATATCAGAAGTCTATTGAGCACCAGGTGAGTAGGCGCAAGGCCTGGAACGGCTAACCATTCCTCCCATAGCTTATTAAATTTGTTTGGGCAACCCCTGCATTGAAATAACTTTTTTCTTTTTTCTAGCCTAAGTGTGTCTCCCACATGTGCAACCCATTCTTTGAGTGGGTGCTCTGTCAGACTTCCACTGTTAGAAAATAAGGCATCGGGCTTGGACCAAAGCTCTGTTGACTGCAGCTTTCTGAACGTCATTTAGTGGCAGGTCATCTAGTATACCCAAAATACAGCGAGTAGGTTCAAAAGGGACATTAATTTGAAAAATTGCATTATTGTTGGAAACAACTTCTGTCCAGTAGCGATGGAACTTTGGGCAGCGCCATAGAAATTGAATAAGGGTGCCCTCTGCACTTAGCACAAAGAGGGGATTGTAGGATACCCATTCAATGTAGTTTAAGAGGTGTGTAATGGGCTCGTAGAATAATCTATAGCTGTGGCTAGTATTATGCGAGCTGTGCAGTACTGATTCCAAAGCGTTCCTCATCCAGTGGACCTACATCTTGCTCCCACTGTTCTTTACCCTTACAAGGGTGACCTGGAGATAAACCCCTTGTGTCCTCCACTGACTGGACATAGTGAAAGATAGAATATGTGATGATTTTTACTGCAGAACAGGATTTACTGTACTCAAAAACATGAATTTGGTTGCTTTGGATTACACAGCTTTGAACCTGACATTGATGGGTATATCCAGTGAAAGTGGACTTTATGCTAACTGGCTTAAATGATATCTAGTTAACATGCACTACAGAGTAGAGCACATAACTGTATTGTACATTCAGATCAGTCCCTAACCCTCAAGGGGGCGTACAATCTAAGGTCCCTAACCTACATTCATACATACACATACTAGGGTCAATTTAGACAGGATCCAGTTAACCTAACAGCATGTCTTTGGAGTGTGGGAGGAAACCCACGCAGAACATGCGCAGACTCCAGGTAGGTGGTGCCGTGGTTGGGATTTGAACCAATAACACTAGTACTGCCAGGTGGAAGTGCTAACCATTTAGCCACTGTGCTATGTCGATTTACCAAAGTGGTAGGCTGTTAACCTAGCAAAAGAGAGAAAGGAAATTTGATATTGTGTGGTCTCTTGGATATGCAAGTATGTTACCAATGATTGTAGTCACCTAGCTTTGCCAGCATATTGCCAAATGTTGATGTAGTGATCAAACTTTATGGAGTGAACAGTGTAAGAATGTCCTTATGAGACCAGTATTGACGATGCAGAATCCTAATGAAATATACCCCTGTTCACACAGGCAATGTGAAATTACCTCCAGAGAAATTTGCTCCCAAGAAACAAGGTGAAGGTGGGAAGGATTTACCTACAGAGCCCAAGAAACTACTTCTAAACTCTGCAGAGGAGCTCTATGCTGAGATCAGAGACAAAAACTTTAATGCTGTCGGTTCAGTGCTCAGTAAAAAGGCCAAGATTATCTCTGCTGCTTTTGAGGTAACATCTTTGACTTTTTTATTTATAACATTGGAATTTAAGCATTCTGTGTGTGTGTGTATTTTATATATATATATATTATATATATATATATATATATATATATATTTTTTTTTTTTTTTTTTTTTAGGAGTCTGCAGAGCATTGCACCTGTGATCAACAGATCGCAGGTGCAATGTCAAGCTTTTGCAGACTCTCAGGCTAGCTGTCTGCCCTTACCTCATAGAGGCCAACAGTTACCTAAGAGAAGATCAATGGACTACAAGAGCGCTCATCAGTGCCCTGACAGTTCATTGAGAACTATAAGCCATCATCAACAGTGGCTGGCAGTACTTGTAGGCATTCATTCACAGGAAAATGACATGGTCATGTGGGTGGAGCCCTGCATGGCCATGCTATTTTTAAACTGTGAAAGTGAGTGCAGGCAGAAGAGCCCCCACCTGTTGTCACAGGGAGGGTAAGGGGCTGCAGATACTGGTACATGTTCAAATGGTGAACTTATCCTTTTAATGCATTTCATTCATTTAAGTTAAAAAACAAAAAACACCTGTGTTAAACTACATCTACACCTCCCCCAGCCCCCCTTATACTTACGTGAGCCCAATCTTGGTAAAGTGCTGTGCCCTAGAGCAGCGACTTTCTCCCCGCTCACCTTTGCCTCACTGGACTTGGAGCAGGAGCCATTGGGTGGGACCGAGCTGCACTGTGTGAGTCAATGGATGCATAGAGCCCAGCTCAGGATAAAGCCCACACGAGGTCCCCATAGCAAGCGGCTTTCTGCAGGGTCATTCGGAGGGGTGGAGGAGCCGGGAGTGCTGGTAGGGGACACCAGAAAAGGAGGAGCTGCTGCACAGAGCAGGTAAGTATGTTTTTTTGTTATTTTAAGAAAAACATTCGTTTACAATCACTTTCAGCTTATATCCACTAAATACATTCCAGGTGCTATAAAAGAAATGGTAATTCATGTTTTAAAGTTAATTTTCTTTCTAAAGCAGCTACAGCTTGATTAGAAAAGCCTACTTGCCAGCAGCTGCAAAGTGGGATACTTGATCTCTGTGGGAAAGCAGTGGTGTCTTTGCTGAGATCCGACCCACCTCATGCTGTCAGACTGAAGGCTCTGCATTAAGCAAGGTTCATACTCGCATGACAGATCTCTGCTGAGAGACTACTGCTTTCTCACAGAAAGCAAGGGTCCAATGTTGAAGCTGCTGGCAGGGGTATGGTTTTTCTACTCAAGTTGTGGGTGCTTTGTAAAAAAAAAAAAATATGAACTGTAAGACCTTTTTTGCTTTCATGCATCTGGCTTGTATTTGTATGCAGGTTTACACTGAATGTTCAACTGGGCTTTAGTCTAAAGCACTTGGTAATGTCTTTGTTGAACTGAAATATCCACCTTTTGATTTTAAAGAACATGGCTAAGGGAGCAGAAACGTTTCCAGTGCAACTATTCTGTCGTGTCTCACAGTGGAAGTGAAATTGATGCTGGCTTCCATAAAGCTACTGTATAGGTTTTGTTCAGAACTGTTTGATAAGGTGTGAATATAAAATCTGCTGTCTCGTTTTATGGAATTAGGACAGGTTACAGGCCTAAGACAACAACTGAAAACTCGCAGAAGCTGAGCGACTCCTGTATTGTGACAAAGGTTAATTTCATGGCATCCTCTAGATCAGTTCATCCTAAATACTTAGACTGAACAAAAGACATCAGTAGAATGTGCTAATGAGATTTGATGCCCTGCTGAAATTGGAGATTTAACACCTTTTAGAGTCATTATCACCCTCATGCCAAGACTTGCCCAGCACAGTCACACTGAACATTTGCAGTTACACTGGTAGCTGTAGATCATGTGTTTAAGCGCTAAAGTAATGCATTAACCCTTTCCTGGTACTTGGAGGTAAACTTTGCCATGTGATAGGCCAGTGTACTGGCAAGGATATGACCCTCTGGGTTACTAGATATGATTATAAAATTGACCCAATATTGTTTTTGTTATATGGAATGTGTCACACAGGGTTCTGAGTGTGCTGATCTGTCACACCAGGACATGCATCCTGCCTTGTAAACTGCTAATAGGTGATTTAGATTGTTATGCATATAGTGCCTCCATATTTAACCCCTATTATGGTCACCGAATATTGTGTTACCAGTGTCCGTGCGATATGTAATCTTCGTCACTAGAGCGCTTTTTGCTAACCCAGCAATGCAACTGGCATAGATGTCTGCAGGGAGTCTGATTGTGCCTACAAATCCACCCACTTTTCAATGTCTGAGGCAATAACTAGCTTTTCAGATAAGTACGGTTACAACGTATGCACTATCTGAAAACTGTTCTAGAAATAGAGAGTACTTAAATGGGAGCTTACATAATGTGAAATATGTCAATCCTTTCTTTAATTAAAGTGTTACTAAACCCAGGACCCTGCATTCACTCTATCTGGTCTCCCACAGGACATACAACATGGAAGTACAATTCTTTTAATAACTATAAACTGCTAAATATCTTTTCTAATCAGCAAAACCAACCAAAAAAAAAAAACCTGTCACCAGTCCGTACTCCTGATCATTGCCACACCAGTCATAGGATGACGCTGTAGTGAACTAGTGTGAGCATGGTTAAAAGAAAAAAAAAATTGTGGAAAAACCCCCAAAATTTTATTCAAAGCGGAACATCACCCAAAAGGGGAAATTCCGCTTGTTTGTATCCCCCCCACCTCCATTGCCGCATTTGGCACTTTTTGGGAAGGAGCATGTACCCGCGCCCACTTCCATCCAAACCCACTGCAGCGATCTGAGCAGGTTGTTTGTCCCCCCTTTCCCTCCACAGCCTTCTGGGACACTTCACAGGTCCCAGAAGACTGCAGGACCATTCACAAAGAGCAGCACTCTATGCGCAGTAGGAAAGTGACTGTGAAGCCGCAAGGTCTTGGCCGGTTTCCCTTACTTAAAGTGTTACTAAACCCAGACCCTACATTCACTATATCTGGTCTCCCAAGTACATAGAACATGCAAGTGAAATTATTTCAGTATTTATAAACTGCTGAATACCTTTCCTCATCAGCAGTTAGAGCAGTCTTGTGACTTCTATCAGTGTCCAGCAGAGCACATGTTAAAGCTTGTAGGAGTTTTCTTTCTGCTCTAGGAGGATGCAAACTCCTGGCCTCTGTCTGGACAGTGCTGATTGGCCCTGTGCTGATCACATGCACTCTCCCAAGAAAAAGCAAAAACCTCTCTAGCATTACACACTAAACTGAGCATGTGCAGAGTGTCTCCACACCATATGTCTTATCAGGAGATGAGAGGGAGATCCTGAAAGAAGGGGAAGATCAGAGAAGTCAGGAACAAACAGCCTTTTTACACAATGCAGAAGATTAACTCCTTATGTTCCAGAGTTAGTATAATCATGATTTACTGCATATACAGACTGATTTTACTGTTGTGGGTTTAGTAACACTTTAAGCTTGCATTTGACAAGAACATAATGAGGGCCTAAACTGGGGGCATAACTGGCAGGTTATATAAAAACTTCACAATTAAGCCATTGACAACAGGCACTGACTGTAGCTACTGCTGGATAATTTTTAGTGATTTCATTAATGGCTATATTTATTAAAAAAAAAAAAAAGAGAGAGACCTTCTTAATGCATTTTGTCAGTACCAGAAGCTTTTCCTAGGTGTTTTCTTGGGTGACAGCTGCTTGTTAAATGAATGCTGACCAGTAAATGAAGCTATGCAATCTAATACAGTGGGGCAAAAAAGTATTTAGTCAGCCACCAATTGTGCAATTTCTCCCACTTAAAAAGATGAGAGAGGCCTGTAATTGGCATCATAGGTAGACCTCAACTATGAGAGACAAAATGAGAAAAAAAGTCCAGACAATAACATTGGCTGATTTGGAAAAAATTTATTTGCAAATTATGGTGGAAAATAAGTATTTGGTCAATATGAAAAGTTCATCTCAATACTTTGTTATATATCCTTTGTTGGCAATGACAGAGGTCAAACGTTTCCTGTAAGTCTTCACAAGGTTGGCACACACTGTTGCTGGTATGTTGGCCCATTCCTCCATGCAGATCTCCTCTAGAGCAGTGATGTTTTGGGGCTGTCACTGGGCAACACGGACTTTCAACTCCCTCCAAAGGTTTTCTATGGGGTTGAGATCTGGAGACTGGCTAGGCCACTCCAGGACCTTGAAATGCTTCTTACGAAGCCACTCCTTACGAAGCCACTCCTTCGTTGCCCGGGCGGTATGTTTGGGATCAATGTCATGTTGGAAGACCCAGCCATGTTTCATCTTCAATGCCCTTGCCGATGGAAGGAGGTTTGCACTCAAAATCTCACGATACATGGCCCCATTCATTCTGTCCTGTACATGGATCAGTCGTCCTGGTCCCTTTGCGGAGAAACTGCCCCAAAGCATGATGTTGACACCCCCATGCTTCACAGTAGGTATGGTGTTCTTTGGATGCAACTCAGCATTCTCTCTCCTCCAAACACGACAAGTTGTTTTTCTACCAAACAGCTCTATTTTGGTTTCATCTGACCATATGACATTCTCCCAATCCTCTTCTGGATCATCCAAATGCCTCTCTCTACCAAACTTCAGACAGGCCCGGACATGTACTGGCTTAAGCAGGGGGACACGTCTGGCACTGCAGGATCTGAGTCTCTGGAGGCTTAGTGTGTTACTGATGGTAGCCTTTGTTACGTTGGTCCCAGCTCTCTGCAGGTCATTCACTAGGTCCCCCCGTGTGGTCCTGGGATTTTTGCTCACTGTTCTTGTGATCATTTTGACTTTACGGGGTGAGATCTTGCGTGGAGCCCCAGATCGAGGGAGATTATCAGTGGTCTTGTATGTCTTCCATTTTCTAATTATTGCTCCCACAGTTGATTTGTTCACACCAAGCTGCTTGCCTATTGCAGATTCAGTCTTCCCAGCCTGGTGCAGGTCTACAATTTTTTGTTTCTGGTGTCCTTCGACAGCTCTTTGGTCTTCACCATAGTGGAGTTTGGAGTGTGACTGTTTGAGGTTGTGGACAGGTGTCTTTTATACTGATAACAAGTTCATACAGGTGCCATTGATACAGGTAATGAGTGCAGGACAGAGGAGCCTCTTACAGAAGAAGGTACAGGTCTGTGAGAGCCAGAAATCTTGCTTGTTTGTAGGTGACCAAATACTTATTTTCCACCATAATTTGCAAATAAATTCTTTCCAATTCAGCCAATGTGATTGTCTGGATTTTTTTTCTTTCATAGTTGAGGTCTACCTATGATGCCAATTACAGGCCTCTCTCATCTTTTTAAGTGGGAGAACTTGCACAATTGGTGGCTGACTAAATACTTTTTTGCCCCACTGTATATCATGGATTCTAGAATGTTACATTATTACTGGGTTTATAAAAGCGTGACTGACTTCACTGTCCTGAGCTGGCACTGTTATGGACCGAATCAGAACTAAAATGCTATCCAATTTTAACACTGAATAGATTGTATTGTTATATTCATTTTTCGTTTTCTCCACAGTTTTTTTAAATTCATACAAATTAAATTATTTAAACAGAGAAAATAATATTTCCTGCTGGTCTTTATTGTACAAGTATGACACTGTACATCCTGGAAGTAACATGGAAGCAATATCCCCAGTTTGTGAAGCAATGGTGGGGGGGTATCAAAGCTGATATTACTGCTAATAATGTTTTTGGGGTATCTGATTATTCCTTTAATTTAAACTTGTAATGCAGAACTTGTTTGATGCAACATGCCAAGTTTTTTTTAATTTAGTTTTTTTTTTTTTCCCCTGACTGCTTTAGGGGAGACACAATGCAAAAACTGTGGGGGAGATCAAACAGTTTGTGTCCCAGCTCCCTCATATGCAGGCTGAAAGGGCGTCCCTAGCCAACCATACATCCATTGCTGAACTCATTAAGGATATAACAAGTAAGATGTCTCATTGTTTCCCACTGTATTTGCAAAAAATATTATTTTGAAGAATTTCTATATTGGTATCGGGCGGACTGACAACTCATGGGGCCCCCGGGCAATAGGGGATCATGGGGCCCCTATGTCCCTGCCCAAATTCAAACAAGCCTATGAAAAAGGTACCAGGGGTATCTCATGGGGCCCCCTACTGACCTCGGGCCCTCGGGCAGTGCTCGAGTTTCCAAATGGTCAGTCTGCCCGATTGGTATCTTTTTATTTTCTGTATATGCTTCTGCTCTTGGTCACATTATCGACATACTTGGTTAGTCCTCTTCGTACTCATGATACAGACTCTATATATCTTCCATGTAATCTTCCTTGTCCTCCTAATCGCCAGCATTAGCCTCTCTGCTGCTTCTCTGTCAAGGTCCTGTTTATAACTTAGAATGATGCCAGGTGGGAAAGCACAAAGCGGCAAGGTTGCAGGAGTTAGTAAAACTAATATCACAATTCTTTATTAAAGCATAACTTCCATCAAAGATGACTGTACCCAGCACAGAGTGCAGAAGGGAGATGGTATATAAAACACCAAAGACCACACAGACTACTGAGATCTGTGAGCCTCCATGCAGTGGCGCTGGACCTCACAGAGAAGATGACAGCTGGCAGCATTTACGGCCATACTTCATGCACCTCTCAGACCAAGCACTACACAGCATCACAGGTGTGGGTGGGTGGCAACATATTTCAAGGGCCCCACCATCTTTTTCAAGCCTTGACTTGGCCCCTGAAATACGTTGTCGCTAACCACTCCTGTGATGCTGTTTAATGTTTGGTCTGAGAGGTGCATGAAATACGGCCGTAGATGCCGCCAGCTGTCATCTTGTCTGGGACCATTGCATGGAGGCTCGCTGATCTGAGTAGTCTGCTTGTGGTCTTTTGCATTGTATATAACACCTCCCATTGGCACTATGAGCTGGATACAGTTATCTTTGATGTAAGTGTGCTGTGTTTTAATAATGAATTGTGATATCAAGTTTTACAAACTCCTGTGTATAGTATATTGTGTGATATAGAGAGAGAGATATAGAAACACATACTGTTCATTCTTGGACAGGCCAGTGACAAGACCAGTTTACACATCAAAATAACTCTTTGCTATGTTAATTTTATGCAAGGTCACCTTGGTATTTGGGAAATAGTCTGTTTATCTAATTAGACATTTCAAAGGGTATGGTAACGACCACCCCCTCCTCCTCAAAAAACTACGCTCTCTTGGCCTGCAAAACTCCGCTCTCTCCTGGTTCTCCTCCTATCTATCGCAGCGCTCCTTCAGTGTTACCTATAATGCTGCCTCCTCCTCTTCACTCCCTCTCTCTGTCAGGGTCCCTCAAGGCTCTGTGCTCGGACCCCCTCCTCTTCATCTACACCTCCTCCCTTGGCCAATTGAAAAACTCCCACGGCTTCAACTACCATCTCTATGCTGATGACACACAAATCTACCTGTCTACCCCTCACCTCACCCCTTCAGTCTCCACCCGCATCACCAGCCTACTAAGTGACATATCGGACTGGATGTCACTCCACTTCCTCAAACTCAACCTTTCCAAAACTGAGCTTCTAGTATTCCCCCCAGCCCGTGCCCCCCCCCCCCCCAGACTTTTCCATCAAGATCAACAACACTACCATCAGTCCCACCCCTCACGCCAGGGCACTAGGTGTAATCCTAGACTCCAATCTGTCCTTTCAGCCCCAGGTCCAATCGCTGACAAACTCATGTAGACTTCACCACTGCAACATCTCCAAGATACGGCCGTTTCTAACCTCGAAAACCACTAAGCAACTCATTCACTCCCTTATTATATCATGCCTTGACTATTGTAACTCCCTCCTCACTGGCCTACCTCATCGCAGGCTATCCCCACTCCAGTCTATCATGAATGCTGCTGCCAGACTCATCCACCTTACTAACCGTTCTGTATCTGCCAATCACTCCACTGGCTTCCAATTGCCCAACGGATAAAATTGAAAACACTGACGTATAAAGCCGTTCATAACATTGCCCCTAATTACATAACCGATCTTGTCTGTAAATATCACCCAAACCATACTCTCCGCTCCTCACAAGACCTCCTACTCTCTAGCTCCCTTGTCTCCTCCTCCCATGCTCGTCTCCAGGATTTCTCAAGGGCTTCACCCATCCTCTGGAGCTCCCTACTCCAATCTATCAGGCTATCGCCTACTCTGCTCACTTTTAGGTGCACTCTGAAAACCCATCTCTTCAGGGAAGCCTACCCCGAAAATCCCCTACTCCTACCACTCCATCCCCCACAGCTAATTACCTCTTGTAGCACTATCCCCTCCTCCTAGATTGTAAGCTCAAAGGAGCAGGGCCCTCTAATCCCTCTTGTATTGTTACTGTACTGTCTCCCTCCATAATGTAAAGCGCTGAGCAAACTGTCGGCGCTATATAAGTCCTGTATAATGATAATAATATTTAGACTTGAGGGAATATTTGTAGGAAATGGTGAAAGGGTGACTTGTGTACCTGTTAAAACACTATAGTGACCTTAATTGTTATTTACAGCAATGGCAAGTGAAGTCTTTTCATGTAAGATCAAAAGGGTTTTGTCAGCCAGTCAGAAACCCCTCCAGTAAACTGTATATCAAGTGACGTTTTTTGGCTGAGAGGGAGCTTCTTCCTGTCATTAATATGGAAGCACAGGTATAGATCATAACTCACATTATTGCACGCATGGAAGCTACCTAGGTGCATATTATAGATCGGACATATGCTGGACGGTGTAGTATCTCCATGTTTGATATGAAGCATCTTAAATGGGACTCTGAGGGCTGTAGTTCATTGTAATATTTTACAAGTATTCTAGATTGGATTTTAGTCATCTTACAAATATCTTTATCCGAATAAATGCATCTCTGGAAAAGAACTGTTGGACTAGTTGCTGCGGGAAAAGTACATTTATAAATATACACATCGTCATTCATCATCCTCCTATTAATAGAAGACAACACTGTGCCCTTGCTGCTTTGTTCTTTTCCATGTACACTGACGAGATTGGTCCCAGATCACAGATTAAGGAGCTTCAGGATCATTCTCCATATACTGCACTCTTGTCAGACTCATTATGGACTCTTGTCAATTTAAGCTATTCTGTGTGTAGCACTGAGCACTGAGTGTCTATGTACACTCACATGTACTTTAAATAAGTGGTTGATTTTGATGTCCGATGAGCAGTGACTTTGGAAAGAAACTGGACGATAAAGGCGCCTCTCCATTAGTACAAGTTCAGAATAGTTTGAAAATGTATTTTCACAAGATTTGCCAATTTGTTTTGAGGACTATAGGGATCCTGCTTCACAAGGGCTGAACTTCCAAAGGGTAAAGTTTGGGAAAGCTAGGCTAGGCTTAAAGGTTTTTTTCTCTTTCTTTAAAAATACAAAACAAACATTAAGAATCACTTTAAAGGATAAGTTCACCTTTGGGACCATGTTACATGTTCCACCCATCTTTATGGTGGAAGATGTAACATGTTTCCACTCCTGCAGCCGCTGCATCTAGTGACCGCTAGATGGGGTTCTTCTCCCCTCGCTAGATGTCTTGACGACCACGTCATTCGTTCAGAGTTCTGTGAATGGAAGACTACAGCTACCGACAGCCTTTGTGGCTGTTGGATTGTAGTTCTCAATGAACTACCATGGTGCTGTTGTGGTAGTTCATTGTTTCTTCCTGTCAGTGTGTATCTGCCTGCGTGTACAAATAATGAGCAGACAGATACACTGTCAAGTCTGCAGGAGTACTGCATTGCACTCGCAATCTGCTATTCACGTGTGCAATGCTTTACAGTCTCCAAGTAAAAAAAATAATAAAGGCACTTCTTTTTACATACAAAAAGGTGTGCATTTTATTTATTTTAAAAAGGTGAATGTATCATTTAAGGAATACACAGCTGAAACTCTAATTGTAAACAAAGAAGCAGCAGCAGACTAACAAGTTTTTCCTTCTGCTCACTTTGCTCTCTACTCCTGCCAGCTTGTAGCTTATTGGCATATTTTTCTAAGGCCTGACCTGATAAGTTCCCAACCTGAGTGCTGCTGTACAAGGGATTGCAATAGGCTGATACCAAGTCATATTCAGGCACTTATACTAATATAAAAAAATAAAAAGCTGACACCTGGCAATGTTACATCTCTGTAGAGGTAGATGGGGATACACAGAGTACTTCCCTGAGCCTCAAGGGAAGCCCTAGACATTTTCTGTACAAGTTGGGGCAGCACAGTGGCTAAATGGTTAGCACTTCCAGTGCTTCTGGCAGTACTAGGGTCGTTGGTTTGAATCCCTACCACAGCATCACCTGCCTGGAGTTATGTTCTCCCTGTGCTTGTGTGGGTTTCCTCCGGGTACTCAGATTTCCTCCCACACTCCAAAGACATACTAAGGCCAATTTAGACAGGATCCAATTAACCTACCAGCATATGTATGAATGTAAGTTAGGGACCTTAGATTGTACGCCCCTTGAGGTTAGGGACTGATGTGAATGTACAATATATACAGTTGTGCTCAAAATAATCGCAGTCAGACATCACTAACCTGATCAGTCACTGTTTTTGGTAGAAATTATATTTCTACATGGCAAATAATTTACTAGCAGGTGTAGTAGAGTAATAGAAATCCAACAGACCCAACAGTCATGACATGCATGCTGCTGATTCTGTGTAATTGAATCACTAATTGAAAGGGGCATGTTCAAAATAATAGCAGTGTGGAGTTCTATTAGTGAGGTCATTCATTCTTTGAAAAGCAGGTGGCAATTATTGCCCTTATTTAAGAAAGGAAGGCAGCAAATGTTCTACATGCTGGTTACAGTGCATTTCTCTCTGAAATTCTGAGGAAAATGGGTCGTTCCAGACATTGTTCAGAAGAACCGCATAACTTGATTAACCACTTCCAGACCGGACACTTTTACCCCCTGCCTGACCAGGGCAATTTTCAGCTTTTAGCGCTATCACACTTTGAATGACAATTGCGCGGTCATGCAACACTGTACCCAAATTAATTTTTTACCATTTTTTTGAGACAGATAAAGCTTTATTTTGGTGGTATTTATTCACCACTGGGATTTGTATTTTTTTTGCTATGTAAATGAAATGTCCAAAAAGTTTGAAAAAAAAAAGTGTTTTTTTTTATAACATTTTGCAAATAAATAATATTTCATCATAAATCTAAGCCAAAATTTATTCCGTTATCTTTTTAGTAAAAAAAAAAAAAAATCCAAATTAGTTTATAACCAAAAATTATAATTTTTAAAACATTTTTTTTTACATTTTTATTTTATTTTTTTATATTTATTATTTTTTTATTTTTTTTTTTTCCATACTGTCACCCTAGCAGTACAGTGTCACCATGGTGACACTGTACTACTTGTGGGGGGTGATGAAGATTTTTTTTTACACTGATTGCTTTTACACCCATATAGGATGTAAAAGCAATCATTTCTCTCTCTCTGTGTGCATTCTTGCACTCATTGAGAAGTACTGAGTGAGCTGTGATTGGTCACAGCTTGTCACATGGTACAAGGCTTTTGTGAATAGCCTTGTACCATGTGACCTCTGTGATCATTCACAGATTTCACACATAGTAAGCAATGATGTCAGAAGTGACATCTTGCTTACTACTTTGCATGTGATCACTGATTGGCCAATCAGTGATCACATGATCGGGACCTCGTACAGAGGTCCCGTCCGACGATCGGTGTTTCACTGTGTCCAGAGGACACAGCGGGCACCGGATCACGGTGCTGCGCACGCTCGTGCGGGGAGGCCGTTTATAAACGGCCACCCGACCCTGCAGTGCCACCGTCCGGCCGTTTATATCCAACGGCCGGTTGGAAGTGGTTAAAAAGTTGATTGGAGAGGGGAAAACATATAAAGAAGTGCAGAAAATGATAGGCTGCTCAGCTAAAATGATCACAAATGCTTTAAAATGGCAACCAAGACCTGAAAGATGTGGAAGAAAGCGAAAAACTACCATTCGAATGGATAGAAGAATAGCCAAAATGGCAAGGACTCAGCCAACAATCAGCTCCAGGAAGATCAAAGAAGGTCTAAAGTTACCTGTGAGTACTGTTACAATTAGAAGACGCCTATGTGAAGCCAAGCTTATCTGCAAGAAGCCCCCGCAAAGTCCCACTGTTGAAAAAAAGACGTGCTGAAGAGGTTACAATTTTCCAAAGAGCACATTGACTGGCCTAAAGAGAAATAGCGCAACATTGTGTGGACTGATGAAAGTAAGATTGTTCTTTTTGGGTCTAGTGGCCGGAGACAGTTTGTCAGACGACCCCCAAACACTGAATTCAAGCCACAGTACACTGTGAAGACAGTGAAGCATGGTTGCGCAAGCATCATGATATGGGGATGTTTCTCATACTACGGTGTTGGGCCTATTTATCGCATACCAGGGATCATGGATCAGTTTGAATACATCAGAATACTTGAAGAGGTCATGCTGCCTTATGCTGAAGAGGAAATGCCTTGAAATGGGTGTTCCAACAAGACAACGACCCCAAACACACCAGTAAACTTGCAACATCTTGGTTCCAGACCAACAAGATTGACGTTATGAAGTGGCCAGCCCAATCCCCGGATCTTAATCCAATAGAAGACTTGTGGGGTGACATCAAAAATGCAGTTTCTGAGGCAAAACCAAGAAATAGAGAAGAACTGTGGAATGTAGTCCAATCATCCTGGGCTGGAATACCTGTTCACAGGGCCAGAAGTCGGTTGACTCCATGCAACACAGATGTACATCAGTTCTTAGAAACAGTGCTTATACAACTAAATATTCATTAAGTGATTCAAAGGAAAGCAAAATCTTCAAACATTTTTCAGTTTATATAGTGAATGTTTGAGTTTGTAAAGAAGAATACAAACACTGCTATTTTTTTGAACAGTCTAATCTTCACTTTTCTTCAATTTTTTTAGAGGAACAACACAAATTTGATATATTTTTCTTCCATGTTTTGATTTGGAATAGAATGTGTAGTGTTCCCAATGCATTTGTGTGTATGGAAATAAAAGCTATTAGAAGGATTTTGAGATTTATTCACTTTTTTCAACACACTGCTATTATTTTGAACACAACTGTATATGTAAAGCGCTGCGCAAATTGACAGCGCTATATAATTACCTGTAATAAATTAAATAAAAATAAAATCTATTTGAGGGTTTATTCATTATTGCAGAGCTGCATTAATGCCAGAGCACTTCTGTTTCATGTTTCTAATGTCTAGAGGAAAGGCATACTATAATATGCTTTGTTATGGATATCAAGGATGCTATTTTGACCTACTGTGTTTTTTTTATCTTTTTTTATTTCTTTTCAGCTTCAGAGGATTTTTTTGATAAATTAACAGTGGAGCAAGAATTTATGTCAGGCTTTGACACAGACAAGGTTAGTTCTAATTTTTATATCACCTAAACTCTCTTTTTGGCTCCTCCCAAGACCTCCTGCTCTCCAGCTACTTCTTTACTTCCTCCCTTGCTCACCTCTGCTATTCTTTGGAATGCCCTACGCCAGGGGTGGGCAACTGTGGCCCTCCAGCTGTTGTAGAACTACAAGTCCCATGAGCCATTGCAAAACTGACAGTTACAAGCATGACTCCCAAAGGCAGAGGCATGATGGACTTGTAGTTCACCAACAGCTGGAGGACCACAGTTGCCCACCCCTGCCCTACACCAATCTGTTTGGGTGTCTTCTACTCTGTGTGCCCTTTTTTTTTTTTTTTTTTTTTTTTTGTATCAAAAGGTACAGCAGGTAAAAAAAAATCATGTTCATTTGAAGTTATGTTTACTGACGTATTTTTTTTTTTTTTTGTTTTGAACCAGGTAAATCCCCACATAGAAGATCGTATTGCAAAGAGAGACCCCCTGATAGAAGTATTACGACTAATCTGCCTTCAGTCTGTGTGCAACACTGGACTCAAGCAGAAAGTGCTGGACTTCTACAAGAAGGAGATTCTGCAGGTGAATTACACAGATTTTGTCTTTGTATGTGAAATGCCTGCTGGGGAATTTCATTTGAAATGATCAAAAGTAGTACTGGTCTTTATGAGCCACACAGGTTTTTATAAATCTCATATAGAATGTGTATGAAGCACAATTTTATTTTATTTTATTTTTTTTTTTTTTGGAATCCTTTCAAGTATACTGTTAATAATACCCACTTGATTTTCGGAGGGTTTTAGCCCCTTCATGACCAAACCTTTTTTTGCTATTCAGCACTTTAACTGGCAATTGCTCAGTCATGCAACACTGTACCCAAATTAAATTGATATCTTTTTTTTTTTTTTTTTGCATACAAATAAAACTTTCTTGGTATTTAATCACCAAAATAAATGAAAAAATGTCAAAAATTTTGAAAAGATAAAACATGTTTTTCTCAGTTACGGTTTTATAAAATTTTGCAAATGATCTTTCCTCATAAATTTAGACCAAAATGTAGTCTGCTACTTTTTTTGATAAAAATAACCCAAACCAGTGTATATTATTTAGTCTGCAAGAAAGTTAATAGAGTCTACAAACTATGGTGTGTGTGTATATATTTAGTTGAAAATTGATCACGTTCTGATGTACTGACAGCAGATCTTCTTTCTTGAGGTCCAAAAATGCCAGGACAGTACAAATGACCACTCTTTTGGAAAGTAGACAGTCTAAAGTATTTAGTAAGCAGCATGGTGAGTTGTGTTTTTTTTTTTTTTTTTTTTTTTTTTTTTTTTTTTTTTTTTTAGAAAATGAAGATATTAGAGCAGAGCTCCAGGCTCCGTCCAAAAAAAATAAGTCGGCAGCAACAAATCCTGTAGCTGCTGACTTGTAATATAAGGACACTTACCTGGCTAAGGATACAGGGATGTTGTCCTCACCCGTGCCGATTCTTCAGTCTGCTTTTGGTGCAGGTGGCGGAATCTTTAGTTGTTACTAAGCACACAACTGCAAAATCAGTCTGTATATGCAGTAAAGCATGCTTGTTATACTCACTGTGGAACCTAAGGGGTTAATCCTCTGCATTGTGTAAAACGATTGTTTGATCCTGACTTTTTCTGATCCTCTCCTCCTTCCAGTGTCCCCCCTTTATTTCCTGATAAGACCTATCGTGTGGAGTCACTCTGCACATGCTCAGTTTGGAGTGTTTTGCTAGCAAGGTTTTGTTTTTCTTCTTGGGAGAGTGCATGTGCTCAGGGTCAGTTAGCACTGTCCAGACAAGGGTCAGGGGTTTTGCATCCTCAGAGCAAAATGAAAACTCCTCCTACAAGCTTTAATGTGCTCTACTGGACACTGATAGAAGTCACAAGACTGCTCTAACTGCTGATGAGGAAAGGTATTCAGCAGTTTATAAATTCTAAAATAATTTCACTTCCATGTTCTGTGTACTGTGGGAGACCAGATATAGTGAATGTAGGGTCCTGGGTTTAGTAACCGTTTAAGTAAGGGAAACCGGCCAAGGCCTTGCGGCTTAACAGTCGCTTTCCTACTGCGCATAGAGTGCTGCGCTTTGTGAATGGTCCTGCAGTCTTCTGGGACCTGTGAAGTGTCCCAGAAGGCAGTGGAGGGAAAGGGGGGGACAAACAACCTGCTCAGATCGCTGCAGTGCATCTGATCGGAAGTGCAAGCGGGTACATGCTCCCTCCCAAAAAGTTCCAAATGCAGCAATGGAGGTGGGGGGGGAGGTGGATACAAACATGCAAAATTTCCCCTTTTGGGTGATCCGCTTTAAATAAAATTTTGGGGAATACTGACTGACAGGTTTTTTTTTTTGTTTGTTTTTTTGTTTTTTACATATTTTTATCAGTGTAGTTCATTGTCACCGTAGTTTTTTACACTGTTAATGCTTCCACAGTGATGGTCACTGTATGAGGAATGGTTTTAGCTGTCATGGGTTAACATTCATGAGCAGTTTGTCTATAGCTAATCACATGATACAGGTAGCCAGGTACCATGTGATTGCTGTGGGACAATCACAGATTACAACTGTAAGCAAGCTGTTCATAAATGGAAATCCATTCATTACAGTTTGTTTATATGGTGATCACATGATAAAAATCATAGCGATTACATGATACCTGCTTATTGGTAATTCTAATCCGCTGTATCCAGTGGCTGCGCGCCCCTTACATGAAACAGGCTGGATGATGTACATGTACATTATCAAGCCTGCCCTGCCACAGTAAATGTATTGTGGCCCGGGTGGCAACCGATTCATTGAACTTAAAGCTGATTTCCAGCGTTTTAATGAAGTTTTAAAAGTTTTTGCTTGGACCAAGCTGATCCGAACAAACTATTACCTTCACTAAGAGATGCAGCAGCTTTGTGCGCTGTATAAACTGTATGTAGTCTCTGCTACATACAGTGTACAGCGCTGCGTTCTGGCAGTGGGGTGGGAACTTCCCTTCCCGCTCCTAAACAAAATAGTCGGGCTGAGTGCTGCTTAGCCATTCACAATAAGCTTTGTATTCTATGAGTGAAGAGATTGCAGTTTATTTCCTTAAATTTGGGCAGGTTAGCAGTGAGGCTATTTAAATTCTCAGTGATCCATCCACCTTTGTTTCTACCTGCTTGTTCTGTGAGAAAGTCTTGCCTTTGTGCAGCTGCCTTTGGTGAAATTGTCTGATTTAAAGCGTAAGTAAACCCAATGATAATGATGTAACCGTATCCTAAAAGAAAAAGTGTTTAACTTTAAAAAGTATAATGTAATCATCTGTCTGTTTTTAAATCTGTAAACTGTGTTTTTTCTTATAATTATGTTCATTTTTCCTTATGTCTTTATCTAATACCTGGTTGATCCTGCCCATTCCCCTTCTGCTTGTTTGCAGACCAACCGTGGAAACTGATCCATGCTAGTGTGGTCAGTTTGCTAGCCTTCTACTCCTATACGGAGTTACTGGCAGGCTGTGCAAGCAAGCGGTGTGCCTGTATCTTCTGTAGTCTTTTAGGGCCACGCCCCCCATCTATCCTTCCCATCTTGATTGACAGCAATATAATGTAAAATCTATTGTGTGCAAATCAGCTGGGGAAGGGGGAAGTGATGTAATTGCCACTGGGTTATTTGCTGTGTTTTATTTCCCTGGAAATTCTGATTCTTGAGGGTCAAGCGTCACTTCTAGAAATGACTCTTAGGTAGGGGTCTTTCCCACTAGCCGGTCCGTGATGCACTGCAGAAGGCACAGTGATCACTTGACCTATATAAAAAAAGTATTAAAACTCTGCTTTTTTTTTCTCTTTTTTTTTTTTATTCAATTTTATGTGTGGAGATATATATATATTATAATTAGTTTTTTTTTACAGTAACTTCAAAACTACTTTAAAGTCGAACTACACTGTATCTGAGTACCACAAACCAAAAGTGTTATTTTTTAATTCATTTTTTACGTTCAGAGCAAACTCGTCCATCCATGTATGTTTCCATGCTTTATTTTTCTTTGAAATCACTTTGAAATACACCCCCTAGCCTTTCTGGTAGTAGCAACCTTGAGTAAGGCCAGACAATTCAAGTAGCATTTACTTCCTGGAATCCATCTACCCCTAGCTCAGGTATGCAGGCAGGATAAATCCCCTCCTTTCCTCCAGAAGACTCCTTAGATGTGTGACATAATTTGCCTAGGCAAGAAGCCAGAACGTAAGTAAAGAAGCATAAAAATAGGAAAGTATTTAATATTTACTTGTTTTAAACTATCTATTTACTAATGCTAGCAGCATAAGGATTAAAAATAGTCAATGTTGATTAAGAGAGTTAAGTTCCGCTTTAAGTTAGAAACCTTCAATAAATGTTATTAGATTCTTAAACACCAATATTGCTTTCTGCAGTGTTCCCATTTACATTCTTCCTACTTGCGCATGCACACTGTATACTACATTTAAGACCTGCATCTGATGAGAAATGTCAGTTGCTAGTTTTCTTATGTCTGCTTTCAACCATGTTCTCAAGCCCTCATATGGGTGATGTCATAGCTGGTCATGTGTGCACCACCATAGTAACTGCCGATCTAAGAGGATGCTAAGATGGCACTGGCTTTAGTTCCACTTTAATGTATTCCACTTCATTTTTGTCTCAGCTGTTTTAAATTTATGAAATTATCTTTCTTCTTGCAGACTTATGGATATCAACACATTTTGACTTTGCACAATCTAGAAAAGGCAGGACTTTTAAAATGCCAGTCTAGCAGCAGGAACAATTATCCAGCTATCAGGAAGACCTTGCGTCTTTGGATGGATGATGTCAATGAACAGGTGAGCTGGGGCAGTATTGAATAAGGCACGATGTAGTGTGCAAAGTATAGAGACCATAGTCGCCAAACAAAAAAAGTTTTTCTCTAATTTCATTAGTTAATGGTACTTTTTTTTTTTTTTTATTACTTTAAATTTAAAGTGTTACTAAACCCACAACAGTAAAATCAGTCTGTATATGCAGTAAAGCATGCTTGATATATTCACTGTGGAACCTAAGGGGTTAATCTTCTGCATTATGTAAAAAAAGGCTGTTTGATCCTGACTTCTCTGATCCTTCTCTTCTTCCAGTGCCCCCCTCTTATCTTCTGATAAGACATATAGTATGGAGACACGCTGCACATGCTCAGTTTAGTGTGTATTGCTAGAGAGGTATATTTTTGGGGAGAGTACTGCATGTGATCAGCAGAAGGCCAATCAGCCCTATCCATACAGAGGTCAGGGGTTCTGCATCCTCCTAGAGCAGAAAGAAAACTCCTATAAGCTTTAACGTGCTCTGCTGGACACTGAGAGCAGTCTTGTGACTTCTATAACTGCTGATGAGAAAGGTATTTTGCAGTTTATATTTACTAAAATAATTGCATTTCCATGTTCTCTGTATCATAGGAGACCAGGTACACTGAATGCAAGGTCCTGGGTTTAGTAACACTTTAACTATCGCTTTTTCTGTATATATTTTTTAAAAATGGAGAAAGGAAAATTAACACAAAAGCGGAGTTCTTGTTAGTAGCAACTAATTACACCTTTCAATTCATGGAAAGATTAAAGGAAAGCTGTTGTAGAAGAAATGTGAAGACTGACATTTTTTATGTGGTGTGTGTGTGTGTTTTTTTTTTTTTTTTTTTTTTTCCTGAAAATGCTGATTTTCTGATCTGGAACAAATATGCATATAGGAACCTTTAAAAGATTGTTTTTTTCGTTTTGTTTATCCCCTCACCCCCCCATGGTACAAAGTAGATGTAATACTTTGCCCAATGTTGCTAGGTGCTTCCTCAGCCTAGCTATGAGGTCAGATTGGGCACCTCCTTTCCTTTGCAGCCAACCAACAACCTTGGAAGATTGCCACTTTATAGTTGCTGCTTGTCCCAGCACTTGCCTGGGGTAAGCGATGGCAAGAGTAAAGCAGAGGGAGAGGTGGCCAACCTCCATCCTTTCTGTGACTTTCCAGATCTGCATGCTTGTTTCAGGTCAGTAATTCTGAAAGTATTAAAAGGAGTGGCTCATTGACAGTAGAGGGCACACTACACTGTATCATTTACTTTCTCTGTTTATTACCATAGGACTTGTATGAAAAATGATTCTCTCTAAGCCCACCTATTTTTATTACACACAGAATCCAAATGATATCTCCTATGTGTACAGTGGCTATGCTCCGCTCAGTGTGCGTCTGGCACAAATACTGGTCCGGCCTGGTTGGAGAAGCATTGAGGAAGTTCTAAAACTCCTTCCTGGGCCCCAGTTTGAGGAGCGGCAGTCACTGCCTCCTGGCCTGATGAAGAAACGTATGTAAAGTATTTAACATTCCTGTACAACATAATTCAGTGTTTTGTCTCTCTTCATTCTGCATGTCGCTTTCATAGGCTGTCTTTCTCCCTCCTTTCACTTACTGTGTCACTTAAGGTCAAAGCAGTGTGTTAGTCATTTGATATGCAGTTCTTGCAAGTTATGAATTAGATATGAGGGTCACTTGCAAAAACTATAGAGAAACAAATGGTTAGCCCAGAATTGATTAAAAAAAAAAACAATTTTAAGTATTACTATGACCATGCTGGAACGTTCCTGAAAAAAAAGATCCAGTATTTAGACTTTTATCCTGAGTAACTATATAAGAAAATGGGGAGAACCCTTTGTCACAACTTGTAAAATTTTGCTCACATGTCTGATTTAAGGCAGTGGGATCATTGTACTTCAGCATCTTCCTTGTGTACTACACATAAAAGGGTATACTCATGTGTGCCAAGGGCTTAAAACTAAAGATTCCAGGTTTCATTTCTCATTGTAAGTTAGATTCTGGGATATATTTTCCTTGCTATATGTCACCATTTATCATTCTATGTGTAACAATGAAAGAAAATCGGTCCTGGTGTGTAATGATGTGGGGGAATGTTTAAATATCTGTCATTTTCTACAACTCCTTGGTTTCCTCTGTCCATGTTTGTCCAGTTGATTGGTGATGATGGTTATTGATAGGAACTTGGCTGAATCCTTGTTTTGTCAGTTTGAGTGAAGGTAAACTTGTGCAGTGTTTCTTCTTTACTGGGACTTTTGTCAAACATACGCTATATTGCCAAAAGTATTGGGACACCCCTCCAGATCCATTGGATTCAGGTGTTCCAATCACCTCCATGGCCACAGGTGTATAAAATCAAGCAAAGCACCTAGGCATGCAGACTGCTTCTACAAACATTTGTGAAAGAATGGGTCGCTCTCAGGAGCTCAGTGAATTCAAGCGTGGTACTGTGATAGGTTGTCACCTGTGCAATAAGTCCATCCATAAAATTTCCTTGCTAATAAATATTCCACGGTCACCTGTTAGTGGTATCAGGGGCGTATTCACCACAAGGCAAACCAGGCATTTGCCTAGGGCGGCAGCACTGCCCCCTGGAAGAAGGGACATATGCAGTATGGGGACTAGGTGGGATCTGAGAGAGGCTGCCTGATGATGTATGCAGAGCCCCACTGTCATTCCCGGGAATGTCCAGAGCTGTAAAGGTGAGTGTCTTTCTATCTGTTGCTGGGGGCGGGTGGGTGTTAGGGAAAGGCTCTCTCGGATGGGGAGGGATGGTGGGGCAGGGGTGTTGTTGGTCAATGTCTGTCAGGCTATCTCCACAGGGGGGGGGGGGGGAGAGGGGAAGGGGCTCTGGTGTTGGTCAGTATCAGGCTCTCTATGCCAGGGAGGAGGGGCATCCAATTTTTGTGTTGCCTAGGGCAGCACAAAACCTAAATACACCACTGAGTGGTATTATAGCAAAGGGGAAACAGCTGGGAACAACAGCACCAAGTGGTAGGCCACGTAGAATGACAGAGCGGGGTCAACGCATGTTGAAGCACACATTGCGCAGAAGTAGCCAACTGTCTGCAGAGTTAATAGCTAAAGACCTACAAACTTCATGTGGCCTTCAGATTTGAACAACAGTGCATAGAGAGCTTCATAGAATGGGTTTCCATGGCCGAGCAGCTGCATCCAAGCCTTACATCACCAAGTGCAATGCAAAGCGTCAGATGCAGTGGTGTAAAGCACGCCGCTACTGGACTCTAGAGAAGTGGAGATGTGTTCTCTGCAGTGACAAATCACTCTTCTCTGTCTGGCAATTCGATGGACATGTCTGGGTTTCGCAGTTGCCATGAGAACAGTACTTGCCTGACTGCATTGTGCCAAGTGTAAAGTTTGGTGGAGGGGGATTATGGTGTGGGGTTGTTTTTTTTCAGGGGTTGGGCTTGGCCCCTTAGCTCCAGTGAAGGGAACTCTTAAGGCGTCAGCATATTAAGACATTTTGGACAATTTCATGCTCCCAACTTTGTGGGAACAGTTTGGGGATGGCCCCTTCCTGTTCCAACATGACTGCACACCAGTGCACAAAGCAAGTTCCATAAAGAAATGGATGAGCAAGTTTGGGGTGGAGGAACTTGAGTGGCCTACACAGAGTCCTGACCTCAACCCGATAGAACACGTTTGGGATGAATTAGAGTGGAGACTGTGAGCCAGGCCTTCTCGTCCAACATAAGTGCCTGACCTCACAAATGTGCTTCTGGAAGAATGGTCAAACATTCCCATAGATACACACCCTAATCCTTGTGGACAGCCTTCCCAGAAGAGTTGAAGCTGTTATAGCTGCAAAGGGTGGGCCCTACGGACTAAGACTGGGATGCCATTAAAGTTCATGTGCGTGTAAAGGCAGGTGTCCCAATACTTTTGGCAATATAGTATATGATAATAGATATCTTGGGTGTCAAGTGTAGAATCAAATGTACAATATAGGTCTGAGAAGGAATGTGCACATATTTGTCCCTGGGATAGTAGTTTCTCAACCATAACATAGTAAGTGTTATGTTTTAGCTAGCAAGTTTTCTGCCCATACTGAAAATATAGTAGCAATAACATTTAAAGTGGTAGTAAAGTCTGTTTTTGTACTTGTACCTACAGGGGAGTCTATAATGAGGCTTACCTGTAGGTACTGTAAATATATCCTAAACATGCCCCGTTTAGGAGCCATTTACTTATGTAGCAGCACCGGCGTATGCCATGTGCTGTAAAAAGTGACTCCCGTGCATTGGAGTGAGATCATTGTGGCTCGACCATTCAAGCCACTGGAGCCCACAAACCTGGAAGAAGGACCGGGTGAAGATGGAAGCCCTCATTTTAAAGTGTTACTAAACTCCAGAACCTGTATTCACTCTATCCAGTCTCCCATAGTACACAGAACATGGAAATGCAATTATTTCAGTAAATATAAACTTCTAAATACCTTTCCTCAGCTGCAGTGTATAGCAGTCTTGTGACATCTATCAGTGTCCAGTTGAGCACTAGTTAAAGCTTGTAGGAGGAGTTTTCTTTCTCCTCTGACTGTCCTATGAGGCTGCATGACCCCTGCCTTCTGTTTGGACAGTGCTGGTTGGCCCTGTGCTGATCACATGCACCCTCCCAATGAAAAAAACCTCTAGCAATACACACTAAACTGAGCATGTGCAGAGCGACTCCTAGAGCTCTGTACTATCAGTAGATGGATTGGGGACAGCAGAAGGAGATGATCAGAGAAGTCAGGATCTAACAGCCATTTTACATAATGCAGAAGATTAACCCTTAGATTCCACAGCGAGTATAACAAGCATGCTTTACTGCATATACAGACAGATTTTACGGTTGTGGGTTTAGTAACACTTTAATGTAGGTTTGAGTTGTCTGTTCATCCATAGTAAGGGTGTTATGTGTTTGGAATACCCTGTGTATTGTATTTATACTGACTGCCTTGAGTTTGCCTGTTCTTATGTACCTTGCCTTGTTATACTTTTGTACGATTTCAATAAACAAAACTGTTAAAAAAAAAAAAAAAAAAAAAAAAAAAGTTTTTTTATTATAATCATTTAAGTACTGTATTCTCAAGCTGCTCGATAGAGGAAAAGGATTTTTTTCACTAATCTTCTGTACAATCATCTGTCTTTCTTTTTACTGCAGGTCAGCAAGGTGAGAACAAGGTAATGCTCATTTTCTTCCTCGGTGGAGTGACTTTTGCAGAAATTGCTGCCCTTCGCTTTCTGTCTCAGTTGGAGGATGGAGGAACAGAATATATCATTGCCACTACAAAACTTATCAATGGCACAACATGGATTAAATCTCTGATGGAAAAGCATGAGGCAGAGCCATGTTAAAGATGACGCTGGACTTTTTCTGCAACATTGAAATGTAGAGGGAGTACAATATTTTACAGAGGCAACCAAGGCAAATCTCAGAAGACTACCATCTGTTTGGTGCTTGGAGTATTGTATGCAGTCCAGATTGCCTCTGGATTTGTCACCTTTTGGCTTATGGGCCAGCAAAACACCTTTTGACACTTGCATATCTTATAGCATCACTCCAAAGGCAGGGACTAAACGTATTTGATGTTCAGCAAGGGACTGGTAGGAGATAGATATTGGCAGCTGGCTTGTGAAATAATGTAATAACTGTAGACGAGACTACACACCATGAAGAGGAGTTCTGTGTGATCTGCGAGTTTCATTAATGGGAACCTGACATTTAAAGAAGTGACTTAATAAATGTGTGTGTGTGTGACTGCCTTCTGCTGCCAACATTGAAGAGAAACTGAGAACAAGCTGACAAGGCAACACTGAGCAATGTAGCCCTCTATGGCTTTGTGTATGATCTGTATACGGGAATGTATACATTTATATAAACAATGTACAGTTAATAATGAATTAAATATACAAACTTATAGTGCTGCAACCATGCCTGACTCTGGCTACACACTGCTGTACAAAACTAGATTCAAACAGAATGGGGCTCTATGTACTTCGCAACTTTGGGCCCCCCAATTTGTACTAGGCTGCCTTTTGACATAAACTGCATACAGTGCAACCAAGTAATGGAGCTTACATTACAGACAACTAGAGTTTATAAAGGTTATATGTTATAACTGCAAAATCTGAATTTATTTCATTTATGCCATCAGAGATGCTCAAATGTGTGTTATGGGGCAGAGGGTTTGTTAATACAAAGTTTTCATTTACACATCATTCAGTTTCCTGTCAAGGTGTGGTTTGGGGGGGGGGGGACTAGGTGTGTTGCTAGGGCAGTTGGAGCTGAAATCAAGACTTGTACAACTAATCTGAGTACAACTAAACTGAGATCAGAAGTACAGGCTATGTATAACTTAACACCTTTTTGTTGACCTTACAGAAACCAAAAATTGACCAGTTAGTCATTCAATTGTTTGAAAGGAGCTTTCATCACAAATAACTGTTTGCCATAAAAAGAAATGATTGCCTGCAACTTGATTTTTAGTTTTACAATAAAATATTGTTTACTGATCACATCACCCATTTAGTACTGCTGATGTTTGGATATGATTTTTTTCATTGGTTATGATATTGACTGATCATGTTGTCATGTGTACAGATCCTACAAGATGATTCTCTCTAGTAAAATGAAAACACTGCGTTCCTTGTTATCTTTTCACCTTCTTAATTCCATACACCTGATACTATAAGCGATCCTGTTACCAGACTGAAGCACACAATACTTAACGTGCCTGTAAAGACTTACCTGTGCCGGTACCGCATGCAGCTCTATTGAAAAGGAATTTTCCAACTGAGGCTCCATTCACACTAGGGCGCTTCAAATCACGTGCGAAACCGATGCAATTTGAAAATGCGCAGTGACAATATGAAAACACACGATCGTGTGTTCAGGTGCCATTCATTTCAATGGCACCTGAAAACACGGGACATTTTTGTCACGATTTTCTCCGTGACAATGTGCCGTGATTACGTAAACAAAATCACAGGATGTGTGATGCCCAAAAATGGTTCTGGAACTTTTTATGGCCGTCCCATGATTTTGTTTGCGCAATCGCAGCACATTTGGCATGCGGAAAAAAATGCCCCGTGTTTTAGGTGCCATTAAAATGAATGACACCTGGACACATGATCGCTCATTTTCACATTGTCGCAGCATGTTTTCAAATCGCAGGCAGAGTCACGGCGATTCCGCCCACAATTTGAAATGTCAAAATGTGAATGGAGCTTCAAATCTCTAGAGAAACCATACTTTCTGTGCCCTATAAGCAATAGTGAAATGAACCAGTGAGCACAGAAGGCAACCAGGAAATCAACAGAAATGAGGATTCTTAAAGAAACATCTGCTGCCGATTGTTCATGAATAGTGGCAGCAGACAAACACATAATTCAGTAATAATTGTAAAGGAGATTGGCAAATTGATTACAAATATTTATTGTAATTTCCTTTCTTGACCTATCCACATTGTCACTTTGCAGATCGTTTTCGTAGACAGCCAAAAACCGTATTAAACCCAAAAACAAAAATGTAATATATTGCAGCTTAACAATCATTAGATGTGGTGGCTGCATTAGTTTTTTTCTTTTTTGGCTTTTCTTTTCATCTGCTGATTTCGCCAATAACACACCTTCTGTGTTTGGGTGCCCCCTCACTGGATAAATGAGCAACTCCTGATTTTATATAAAACCTTGCGGGCATCTTAGGCAGAACGTCCAATCTTGAAATGATGACCACTCTGATCACCTGATGTGGCCTGAATGGTGGGTCTGATAAATAATCAAGGACTTTAGCTGGGGTTATGTGGTTGCTCTGGTCATAGATGGAAAGCTCTGAGAATTTAGACCACTAGTTTGTCTGAACCAAAACCATGTTACTGGTTGTTAAATGTTGATGCCCATATGGAGGGAGACTAAAACATTCTGTACCTAGCAAACGAAGTGAGTCCCCCCCCCCCCCTAATCCTGTTGTACCCCCAATTTGTTCTAGGAGTCCTGGCTTTTGGGTGGTTTATTGCCCTGTCCAAGTGCCTTCTACTCTTTTCTCCTTTCAAGAGTCAGACCATCAGTTTCAGTCCAGCCAGGCATGGGTGAATCACCCTGGCTTTGGGAAGAAGATGGGGCCACTGAGGAAGGAGAAATGGTTTCTGGAGAAGAATGGCCTCTCTGACAGAATGGAATTTTCTAGTTTTCAAGGTTTCCTGGGCAGACTGTCCAGAAACCTGTGAATTGGGGGGAACAGGAGGAAATGCACAGACTAAAGTGTGAACTTGCCAAGGTGAGGTTAAGGCATTGGTTACCACTGAATAAGTATTACAAAAAAAAAACTCAGTATGACGGGTGTGGAAATTTTTGAAAAAACTACTTGTCCAGGGACTAAATCAATACCCCAAACTACTTGTCCTGATAACATTTTTTTTTTTTTTTTTTTTTTTTAACCAAAACCGTATTTAAATCTGCTTTAACCACTTGCCCTCCTGAGGATTTACCCCCCTTCCTGACCAGGCCATTTTTTGTGTTAAGGCGCTGCGATACTTTAACTGACAATTGCGTGGTCATGCAAAGCTGCACCCAAGTGGCTCTGAGAAAGAGGTTGTGGCCTTGAAACGCGTTAGCCAGTTGGTCATGCAGGGTTCCATCGTATGGACTCAGATGCTGCTTGGATCTATTATCTTGTTCTGTATGATATGCCTGTGTTTTTATGTTCATTGTGAGTATAATACTTACCTTGTTTTTCTAATAAATATTTTAAATGATAATGCACTAGGTCGGTGCACCCTTTTTGTTTTTCTATATACAAAGCAGCGTGTAGGAGCTGACAGGGGAGACAACTGTTATGTTTACAAACATTTCCCCCCCTTTTTAGGGCACCAAAAGCAATACATTATCCAATTTTTTTTTGTAAAATATAAAAGATGAGGTTTTCTATAGGGTGGTGCTTTTAAACCCTCTTATAGGTCATCAGTGTATTACGGAGGAAGTCTGCTGCTGGAGTTATTGCTCTCATTTTGGCGTGTGCAGCGATATGTAACGTGTATCACAATTGTCCTTTTCATGCATGGGGGGGTGGTTATAAGCTTGGGTGTAACTAATTTTTGTTTTTAAATAAAACAATTTTTTTTTTTTTACTTTTCCATCACATAGGAGACAACAAATTCCCTATATGATGATTTTTGGTGACCGGTTCTCTTTTTTTGAGACATCCATGGTCCAAAAGACCCTGCATGCCTCCCCTGTGCTCCCCTGAATGTAATGCAGTGCACATCGCACTGCATTACATTCTTTCCCGGCCTTGATAGTTGGAATCTGTCAATGGGGACCCGAAGTGACATCACTGCAGGGTCAGGACAAGAAGGGGAAGGAAGTGTATGTGTCCGCTCTCCTCCCTCCTCTATATACCCTCCGGCACCCACTGACTGGTCCTGGGTCCGCAGATGGGCAAGCGGAGCCAGGAGACATGGCGGAGGGCTGCCTAGGCTGGCAACATTGTGGGCTGTGAGGAAGTAATCGGGCGGCAGCGCTACCACCCAAATGCTTCCACTTGACAGATGAGCCCTGCTGCTTGCCCACAGCAGGACTAAAGGTAAAAAATAAAACCTGCCTGCCCAGATCTACATGTGTTGGGCAATATGAATTGAACGTCCCTGATATGAACTAGTTCACTTTGGTGTTCTGAGGAAAGGCAAATAAATCCACTTTGTTGCTTTTTATCGCCAATAATACTGAATATCTCTGGGAGTGGGACCATTATCTTCCAAAGTATATTAGATTTTAATTATTGGAGCTACTTCATCCTCTGCTGCACGTTCCTCTTTGCTTCTACACGTACAGTGCCTTGGAAAAGTATTTTCCACATTTTTTTCCACATTTTGTCATGTTACAACCAAAAACATAACTGTAATTTATTAGCATTTTATGTGATAGACCAACACAAAGTGGCACATAATTGTGAAGTGGAAGGAAAATGATAAATGGTTTTCAAATTTTTTTTTACAAATATCTGAAAAGTGTGGCGTGCATTTGTAATTAAGCCCCCTTTACTCTGATACCCCTGACTCAAATCTAGTAGAACAAATTGCCTTCAGAAGTCAACTAATTAGTAAATAAGTGTCCACCTGTGTGTAATTTAATCTCAATATAAATACAGCTCTGTACAGCCCTCAGAGGTTTGTTAGAGAATATTAGTGAACAGACAGCATCATGAAGGCCAAGGAACACACCAGACAGGCTAGGGATAAAGTTGTGGAGAAGTTTAAAGATGGGTTAGGTTATAAAAAAAATATCCCAAGCTTTGAACATCTCATGGAGCACTGTCCAATCCGTCATCCAAAAATGAAAAGAGTGTGGCACAACAGCAA